TTTACTGATATAGGTAATCCTCGATTTACAGCCATTAATTCAATGACGTTCAAAGTTACAGTGCACTAAAAAACATAAGTCACTTTTTCAGGGCTCTTGTAACTTTGAACAGCCATTAAACGAATGGCAAACATCCATAATCCCATCCGAATGAAATAATTATTATTTAGGAACAATTTTAAAATAGAATGTGGAATAAATGTTAGTTAATTACATTTGAATTCTAGTACTCTGCTAGAAGCTAGGTAGGTTCAGAGTCTGTACTTAGGACCCTCCTAAGTGAATTCTGAGTTTTGAAAATTAAAATCCAGCTATTTCTCAGATAAATATCCTTTCCATTCTTTTCATTAAAAAAAACCCAGTGATTGATTGCAATTCATTAGATTCATTTAATAAATATAATTTTTGTTGTGATTATACTCAGTAAAATTACTATAAAATGCAACCCAAGCCTCCTAATTTAGTAGATTTGAGATGAATGGATGAATCTCCTTATAGTCAAGTAAGTGGCTAGAGAAGGAAAAGTAGAAAGTCATAAAGCTGAACAAAGGGGAGCATAAGCCTTCAGTGATCTGCATTAGAACTTGGGTTTTCTTTAATAATTGATTCATAATTGGAACCAAAAATAAATGGTGGTAAGAAGCTTTCACAAGCTTCAAAACTGATGCAGATTGTATGAATATATTGACTTTACCAATGGAACAAGTCTAATAAAAACATGAATAGTGGGTGCCACCTACTGGTTACTGTATGCTTGCTCATATAAATAAATTTGATAGATCCTGGAGGTTTACAAGTATACTGATTCTCTGGCAATTAAGCAGCAGGTTTGAATAATATTAGAATAGAACAGAATTCTTTATTGGCCAAGTGTGATTGGACACACAAGGAATTTGTCTTTGTTGCATATACTCTCAATCTACATACTGTAAAGAAAAATAACATAGAATACATTAATCAAGAATCATAAGATGAAACATGTAGTGATAGTCATAGGTTACTAATAAGCAATCAAATTATACTAGGAAACAAATAAAACAATATAAAATTTAAAGATACAAGCAACATGGCTATAGTCATAAGTGGAAAGAGATAGGTACTTGGAAAGAGATAGGTACTAGGAAGGAAGAGACGAATAATACTAATACAGTCTTAGTAGATAATTTGACAGTGTTGTGTGGATTAGTTTTTAAGCAGAGTGATGTCATTCAGGAAAAAACTGTTCTTATGTCTAGTTGCTTTGGTGTACAGTGCCCTATAGTGTCGTTTTGAGGGTAGAAGTTGAAACCATATGTCCAGGATATGAGCGGTCAATAGATATTTTCACAGCTCTTTTTTTCATTCGTGCAGTATACAGGTCCTTGATGGATGGAAGGCAGGTTGGTAACAATGTTTTTTTTCTGCAGTTTATTATTTATTACTAATAAATAAGGCAGTGTTACCATTTTTCTGTTTAATTAATCAAATTAGGTCAAAGACAGATGATTCATTAAATCAGTTACATCCATATTCACCTTGAATATAAAGCAGTGTGCTTAAATTCAATAGCTTTTCAAAGATGATTATCATCCCTGAAATGTGAAACTCTTGACTATGAATATAAATAATAGAATATCCAAAAATGAAATGGGCATTAAAGTAATCCACAGAATATACAAGAAAATGTGTTGCTTGTAACTGGAGATTGGAATGCCGGCAGTTTATCTATGCCAATCCACAGATTTGAACAGAACAGAATTGGAAGATACAAGGGATCTGGGAGGTCTTCTAGACCAACCCCTGCTCAAGCAAGAGACCCTGTTCTATTTCATACAAATGGATATCCAATTTCTTCTTAAAAGTCTCCAGTGATGGAGCACCCATTATTTCTGAAGGCAAGCCATAATTCTCATTGTCAGGAAATTTCTCCTTGGTTGCTTCTCTCCTTGATTAGTTTCCTTCATTCTTCAAACAAACAAAATAACACTTGTATACTTGGATAGTACCTATAAACATGGAGCACACAGAAATCAAATTGATGATATTATTAATAAAGGTACTTCTCTCTTAATGACCCTTATTGGGACTTGAATTTTTTCTACTAAATAAAGCAGTCATTAGGCAAAACATCACATAACCAATTAGCAACAGTGGTTATGGTAGTCCTGGTCATGGTTATTAGTTAAGACTTGACTGTTAGGTGAGGACTCCTGCTTCTCCTGCGTTTACCTTCCGTTTCTCCCACCACCTATTTCCCTCCCCATCCTTTTGACCATCCGACACTCAACCTATTCTTGCGCCCCTCCCAAGTTGACCTTTCTTGTCTTTCTCCCATTGTTGACAAGGGGCACCAGGCTAAGGTATCTGCTGGCTGCAGGCCTTTTAAAGGCTTCTTGGAGAGTTTCCCAAAGCTTCACAAGGCCTCCACTTGTCCATCACTGCTCATGCCACTTATGCCACTGCATTTTGAACCAGTTAGATGGTCTAGAAGGGTATCTCCATGTAGAACTCATTGCAATTATAAGGTGATTAGGATTTGAATGACTGCTGGGAAGGCCTCCCAGTTAAAGAAAAGGCGGAACTGGTGCACAAGGTGGAGCCGAGGTGGCGTAGTGGTTAGAGTGCAGTACTGCAGGCCACTTCAGCTGACTGCTATCTGCAGTTCGGCAGTTCAAATCTCACTGGCTCAAGGTTGACTGAGCCTTCCATCCTTCCGAGGTGGGTGAAATGAGGACCCAGACTGTGGGGGTGATATGCTGCCTCTGTAAACCACTTAGAGAGGGCTGAAAGCCCTATGAAACGGTATATAAGTCTAACTGCTATTGCTATTGCTATCTCTGCAAAGATCCTCCTTATCACAACTATCACCTGCCCATTGTAAGTCCAGGAGAATACCCCCCCCCTTCAAGTTGTACACTAATTTCAAGTGGGGAACTGCAGCTCCATTCAATACTAAAGTTAAAAGAGTCTTCAGCCATAAGGGTTCAAACAGGTACAGTCACTCAGTCTTTTCAGGATAAAGTCAAAGTCCATTCCTCCCCATTCAGACCCAGATACTTTCCAGAACACTGATGAGTGTACTGACAACTTTGTTGTGGTTCAGCTTATGGTTGAGACATACAACTGGGATATCATAAGGAGATCAGTGAAGACATGTTGCATAGGGAACAGATCAAATAAAGGGGGAAGAGTCCACAACAGTAATGAATGCAGCAAAATTCTGAATATTTATGCCAATGTGACATTTCAAGTTTTTTCTTTTCAATAAATTTACTGACGTTTCTAAAATTCTGATTTCACTTTGTCATTATAGGGTACTGCATGTAGATTAATGAGAAAAAATGAATTTCAACAACTGTAGGATCAGGATTCAGCATAACAAAATTGACAAAAGTGAAGGGATCTGAATACTTTCTGAATGCACTGTATATTCCTTTCTCCCTTTAACCATTCACCATTCCTTCACCATAACACCTAATATGTGAAGTTTTATTTTCACTCCATTTTTATACTAAGACATGCCTCTATCTATATTTTCCTGGGTACGTACAGAAGGAAGCAAAAAATAGTCATGAAAAAAATTATTCCTGAATGCTTGTATGACACTGCTACATGAAGCAATTCATAACTTCTCCCAAACATTTGCTCTTTAGAGGTTTCTTTAGAGAGATTTCTTTTATATATTAACTCCTTTAGCTGATTTCATCATTAAAGTTTATGCTACCAGCTTTGTTTATTATTACAAAGAACCTCAATTATCCATATTGTGATAATGCCAATCTTGTCTTTTAAGCCATTCCAATATTTGTGAGTGTGTGTATATTGATGTGTATTGATATCTCTTGCACCTGATTGCTAATAACATGAGTTGAAATAATTATAATATGCTATTGTTTTCCTATTTGCCAAAACAGTTTATATTTACTCTGCACATTTTGCCTATTAAGATCAAGACATTTAATAATTTGGTCATAATTTCATGTATATGAGGTTCTTATCTCAATCTAAAATATGGAATGGAAAGCACTATGGTTCAAACTGAGTTAGGAGCAAAAACCCTACTGTAATTACAGGAACTCTAAATTTAAGTATTATTATTTGTATCATTCCAATGAAAGTACAGTCATCAATTACTTCCAATGAAAGTACAGTCATCAATTACTTCTTATAATTTCAACACCTTGAGCTGTGATGAGGATGTCTAACTCATTTTGTCTCCATGCAAAATCCTCATCCCATATGAATTTTCATTATTCATCTTGTTTCCTTCTTTCTTTATTGCCCTTTTTAATTTGTTTAAACCTCTAAACTGATTTGTAGTCAATTAAACTTGGGATCCTTTATTCATTTTCTCTGTTTTCATTCTCCCAAATTCCATAGCACTGATTTTTTTTAATGATAGCCTGATAGTATTTGTTCTTCTCATTCTAGGTAATAGAGTGTAATATTTCCTGATTCATGGTCTAAAATTGGAAAGAATTCATGAAGACTATCCCCCAGACTAAGAAAAGAAAAACCAGACTCCTTCTGATCTTTTTGCCTCCAGATTGAGAGGAGGCAATATCAGTTTCCAATTTTTGCACGCCCTTAATCCATGCAATCCTAATCATTTCAGTGTAATCTAGGAAGGAAGGATGGCTAAGAACAGTATGAAAAGCTAATAATATAACTTTGACAACTAAAACCTGGTCTATATGAAGTTTTCAACTAATTTATGGAGGGAACAGTGTACCTCTAACTTTCTGTATGCAATTTTTCTTCACCACATTATTGCAATAACCCTACTTTCAAAAGAAATACATGAGTCTAGACAAAATGACATTTTTGTATGTATGTACTAACCTTAACTGAATTAAGTGTTTTAAAGATACATATTACTGCAAGAGTTTTATTAATAATTGTGAAGATGTACTGTGTGAACATAACTAAATAAATATGATAAAATATATGACATTTTTCCAACTACATTTGTTATTTGGAAGCCAATATTAAGGATCAAATACTTTTTCCCTTGACATATCACTGTCTTTCTCTTAGCACAGGAAATGCTGATGGTGCAGTAGCTGCAGGAATATGGGGATGCATGTTCAGATCAGCAAAGGAGCTTATTATTGCTTCTTCTGAAAGAGGCCAACTGAAGCCTCGTTGGTGGGCTCAGGCATGATCTGGATCTTTTGGTTCTTCAGAGCTGCCTCTCTCATCTTGTAATACATAAATTCATTCTGCTGGAACATGCGTAGCTCCATCTCAGACTGAATACGCATGGCCTAAATGAATGCAAAGAAATTTTTTTAATTGTACCATTCTAACTGTAGTCTGTGGGGGAAATCCTTACTTTCAAAGTTAACTCTTTATCACAGGCAGCTATTCTTATCATAGTACTCTATGAAAATCGATAAACGATTCACCACATTCTTCTATCACTATTAATTATGTCTTTACGTTACTTCAACAACTGCTAGTTGTAGAGAACAGCAGGAAATTTGCTAAATCTTAATGTAGATAAATTGTTGCATAGATCCAATTCCAACAAATTCAACAGTATCACAAATAAAAATTTATTAATCACACAATAATCTCTGAATCCAAATATCCATCATGACACTTGAAAATCACTTACTTCCAGATCTTTGGTAATTGGATGAGTGGGTCCGTGTGTCACCAAAAGAATAGCATAAGCTTTGCAAAGCATCCCATGGCCTGCTTCAATAAGCCCAGCATGCCAGTGGGTGACCCCAGCTCTCATGAGTGCCATCCCAAGCTGGGCATTTTTGGGATGGTAAAGCTTTCTGAGGGAAAAAGAGAAGAAACATGTTGTACAGTTTTTTTTAAAAAAAATAACTTTTATTAAAAACTTATCATAGAATAAAAGACAAATCAAAAGAAGGAAGTAAGGAAAAAGAAAGAAGGAAGGAAGAAAAGTAAGTAAGTAAGTTAATTAAGAAATACAACAATTTCCATCTCTCTTTTCAACCAGGAGTTGCAATTTTATAATCCCTCTTAGATAATATTCAAGTTCCTTCAGCCCTTCAGGTAATCTATGTCCAAGTTTTAAATGTGCCTGCATCTCCAAGGAACAGGTCAAAGAGTGAGGTAGGGGTAAAAAAGGTAGGCTTCCACAGTTCTCTGCTGAGTGAAGTTTACTGTTTTAAAAATGATATTGTGGATAGATCATAATATACAGAACACAAATATGCAAAGAGGAAAATAGCAAACTGCTAACCCATTTGCAGCCAGCCAGAAATGGAATCCAAGATTTCTACCACAATTGCCAATTTATTTGGGACTATGTAAAAATTCTATTTTGGTTACATATATACAGGGGGAGAAAAAACACTTCACTCACGTAAAATATTTATATGAATCATTCCACTTGAAAATATAATTGATACATCTATCCTTAAACAGTACTGTTACGACCCTAACTTAGTTATATTGATTTCTCAGAATCCTTAATGCTTGCCCTCATTTCTTTCGATTATGGGTATTTTTGTGATTAAATAAAAGAGGGTTACCAAGTCTTCTTATTTTAACATTTCTATGAATAGGTTACTGAAGAAGAGAGAATAAAGAGGACTCTGGTCACATACAGGTAACCATCCACCATCTGTTTTGAATAGCCAGAAGCCTCATTGAAGAGCTGGAGGTAAGAGAGAACTTCGGACAAGATGCTAAGAATTCGCAGCAGATAAATATTGGTTTCTCCCAGGACTGCTTCCTGCCTTGTTAGACAATCTCGGCACAATTTCACCACCTGTCACAATCACAAGAACAAAATAATCAAAAAAGAGGGACTGAATAGAACAAAGAGGTCTCCCTCTAGAGGACATAGCTCTAATGGCAGGTCAGTTTTGAATGTGGATGTGAGTTGTTTCCATAAACAGTCCCCCATAATTAAAAAAAAAGTTTTATAATTCATCTGGAATAAATGTAGAGAAATAGTTCTACATTGGTTCAATAATAATGTAATAGCATTGGGTACAGTTCTATACTTTTATGTATTTTAAGTGTGACTCCAAATTATTGTTGTTAAAAGGTAAAAGTAAAGTTTCCCCTCGTACATATGTGCTAGTCATTCCTGACTCTAGGGGGCAGTGATCATCTCTATTTCAAAGCCAAAGAGTCAGCACTGTCTGAAGACGTCTCTGTGGTCATGTGCCCGGCATAACTAAATGCCAAAGGCACAAGAATGCTGTTACCTTCCCACCAAAGGCTATTTTTCTACTTACATTTTAAAATGCTTTTTACTGCTAGGTTGGCAGAACCTGGGACAAGTAATGGGAGCTCAGTCCATTACAGGGCGCTAGGGATTCGAACCGCTGAACTCTTGACCTTTCTGATTGATAAGCTCAGCACCTTAGCCACTAAGCCACCATGTCCCTTTTAATCTTACTAATTACCTAACATCAAATAAAACTGAAGCCAATGTCTTCTGCAATTATAAAACTGTAAAACAGCAGATTTATCCCAGGAAGTTTTATGAGATGGTGACATGAGCATCAGAATTGTCTCTTTCTTTATTTTATCTGCCTTCCTCTTACTCTTTGAAGGGAGTTAGTTATCCCAACAGTCTTTACAGGCTATGCATCCAGGACCTTTCTGGGGTCATGGACTTCATCCCTTGGATTCTTCCAATTGAGCATTATATGGGAGGGAATGGAAAGAAGCTATTATAGTCATTCTTTCACATCACCAGTGAATTTTTTTATGCACACGAACACTTAACTAAATACTCCCTATAATTATTAAATTCAATTAAACTGAATTAGATCTTGTTTAATGTTATCTGGTGCACCAGGCTAGCACCAGTTGCGTCCCTACTTGAACTGGGAGGCCCTCACAACAGTCACTCACGCCCTTGTGACCTCTAGACTGGACTACTGCAACGTGCTCTACATGGGACAGCCCTTGAAGAGCATTGGGCGACTTCAGCTTGTCCAGAATGCAGCCGCGCGAGCGATCTTGGGTGCACCCCAGTTCACCCACGTAACACCTATCCTCCGCGAGCTGCACTGGCTGCCTATTGGTCTCCGGATACGCTTCAAGGCGCTAGTCGTCACTTATAAAGCCCTTCATGGTATTGGACCTGGGTACTTGAGAGACCGCCTGCTGCCAATTACCTCCACTAGACCGATCAGATCCCATAGATTAGGCCTCCTCCGAATTCCATCTGCCGGCCAGTGCCGACTGGTGACTACCCGGAGGAGAGCCTTCTCTGTGGCTGCTCTGACCCTCTGGAACGAACTCCCCGTGGAGATTCGAACCCTCACCATCCTCCAGGCCTTCCACAAAGCCCTTAAAACCTGGCTGTTCCGACAAGCCTGGGGCTAAAGAACTGTTGCCCCCGTCTCAAATTGGTATGACTGTTGTGTGTTTTTAATTATGCATTGTTTTGTGTTGTTTTAATTTTTTGTTGTATCCCCCTTCCCCGGTTGAGTTGTGAGCTGCCCTGAGTCCCCTTCGGGGAAAAAGGGCAGCATATAAATAAAATCAACATTCAACATTCAACAACATCTCAGTATTTTGTCAGTTTCTGTGGGCTCGAAACAGGTAAAATTCTGCAAGCAGAAACTCACCAATCTGCATCTTCACAGTCAATATTGCAGTGGGTAGAAAATTAGATTATATAGGAAAGATAATTCAATATAAAAGTCCGTAAGAGGTATTTTAAGGTTTATTTAAATAAATGCTGTATATTATAGACTTTGTGGATGACTCCTTAAAATACAATAAAATAAATCTAATCATATGAATTTTAAATCAATCCGTTATTTATACTCTCATTTTCATGTTCAAAATAATATGAAATAATACTTCAGCTTGAAACATTTTGCTATTTTGCTTACAATGAGGAATACAATAAGATGATAGAATTTAAATCTGTATTAATTGTATTTATTATTACATATTATGTATGTTTTCATTAGTTTTTTATACTGAATTGTAGCATTTTTGACTGATCTTTGGCTGCAATAAATTGAAACACTTGTTATAAATGTACATAAATTTCCATAGATTTAAACCAGAGCCAGGAAAAACCCTACATGCTTCATAGTTTAGATTATCTGGAGGTTAATCCCATAAACAAAGGTCATATTTGTTTTGTCTAGATTAGCACCAGCCTTTCAACCAGCATTTCCACAAAAGGCAGTTCCACATTTTAAATCTTCCACAAATGTAATAGCTGAAAAGACAAAACCAATATAAACTATTATATTTTAGTCAAAATCTCTATTGAGATAACCAGTCTTACTTTACCAATTAATTTAAGAGATAGTGTACCTTAGATTACCTTTCCTGCTGAAAATGGGAATTTCATTCATATATTTATATCCAAGAGTCTGGTTATCTATCGATCATTTGAAGTAATTACAATACAATAATACAAAGAGACATTCATGAGTGATTATCTTGCGGGTTGCCAAAATCCAAATGCAAAATAAAAAGCAAAACTACTGGCACCAAAAAACCCTCACAAAATGGTCACAAAGAACTCTATCATAATGGCCTCCATGAGAGGGATATCCTAACTCTAGATTGGTAAGGGTGGGGAATATGTAAAGCACTTTTTTCAAACATAGGGTGCCGTTACGCATGCAATCCTCTTGGGAGGGAAGATATGTTATGACAGATATATCTGAAGATAGTGTGTGGCAAATACTTTATTTTGAACAACTTTCCCTTGGTTGTCAAAAAGTCCCATAATATGAAGCAGGAGCTGGGAAATTTTTGGCAGGGTGAGGATACTTTTAAAATTTCTCTTCTTTTTGACAATAAGCGGGACACGATCTCTAAAAGTAACAAGAGTGAGCTTTTTGTTCCATTTTTAACTATTAGAGAAAGGTCATTTTCCTAAGTACTTTTATTTCCTTACTTTAAAAAATGACTGACAGTTGCCATTTTTTGGCTGAATATTGCTGAATTTTGATGTTCACATAAAAGGGATTCAGATGGCCCACATTACAATGGAGTCTTAGGGAGATGGAAAAAGATTGCCCTGTACCACTTAAATTACTGTGAAGGAAGTAATTGCAGAAAATCCAATGTCCAATAACTTACTTCATGGTATATCCCATCTGAACGAGCTTTATCAACTTTTTTCATGGTTTCTTTGGAAAACTGAATGATCTCTTTCACCACTTCTTGAGATGGCTGTGAAAAATAAGGGGAACCTATTAACATGTGCTTCCTAATTTTTCTTGTCAAAGAGCATCATAAAATAAATCCAATTTTCTTTTTATTATCAAGATAATATCTTGGAACAAACCTTGTGAGATTCACTTTAGCTCATTTATTCTATTGGAACAGATTCAAAGAATGGTAATGAAGATGAACAGGGTATTAAGAAGATTGAAGGAGGAAGATATGTTGAGTTTTGAGAAAAGACACCAAGAGATTTTAATGGCATGCTTCAAACAAATGAAAGGATGCCACAGAGGAAAACTAACATTTCCTCTCTTTTTCCAGAGGATAGAAGAAAATAATAAAAATAAGTTATGGGAAGGCAGAACCATTTGAATATTAGAAAAAACATCCAAAATGTAGCACAGTACCACCAATTACTTAGAAAAATTGTAGCCTTCTTTTTACTGGGTACATTAAAGTGCAGATTAAACTGTCCAATTTAATGTTTTCATCTAGATTAAATAAAAAATTACATTAAATCCTGAGCAGAGAATTGAATTTATTGTTCAAAATGGTCCTTCTATGAAAAGTCAGACAGCTGAAATAAAATCAGCATTACTATGCTTATTCCATCATCTTTATGGACTATAGATTTCTCCAGTTTTCTATGATCTCAATGCAGCTAGTTCGGTGCGGCCAGCTGGGGGCATCCTTCTCGCCACCACCGAATCCCTTCTGCCAATTCACTGCCACCATTTCTTCACAAGACATCTCAACACCTGAAATTTCCTGTAGGTATAACTCGCTCAGTGCTGGATGGAGAATGAGTGTCAGTGTCAGAGGGGAGTGGCAATGGGTGAGACAAGAGCCGTGTAGGTGGGCAAGTGAGCAGGGTGTCAGAGGGTGTCAGTGGTAGGTTGGCTGTGCCCCAAAAGCAGAACAGACTGTTCAGCTACAGTAGAGGATGGGGCAGAGGGCGGGCAGGTAGCAGCATGTGGGGGCTTTCCATTTTAACCCCCTCACTGTTGTGGTTGCTTCTGCACCTTGGCTCTGGCCTGAACAAGCAGTTTGGCTGCGGCGACAAGCAGGGCAAGTGTTTCTAAAGCAATGCTGCCATGGCTTTCCAAGTTTTGTCTATTAAAGTGCCGCCATTCTGCAATTTTTTTTAAAGCACCATGCCTCTTTAAACATTTTCTTTTAGAATGCCGCTGCAGCGCCAGCCAAAAAAACCTTGCAAACTGGCAGCAGCGCTTAAAACAAAAACTTGCAGAACTGCAGTGCTATGAAAGAAAACAAACTGGCAGAGTGGCAGAAGTCCTGCCCATCACCCCACCTATTGCCACAGCCAGGCTGAAGCAAAGGCACAGAGACAACGGTGGTGATGAGTGGGTCAAAATGGGAAGCGGTCCACCTGGTGCCACTGCCACCACCGCCCAGCTTCTGATATCCTGTTCGCTTGCTTCCCATCTGGCGCAGCCCATGGTATGAAGATAATGGTGTGGGAGCTAGCAGCATCAAGTGGTATCATTCCATTCTCTGGGATGGTTCTGTATGTTGTCAAAATAGCAATATGTTTTCAGTGTCCAACAGCAATTTGCCTTATAATGATAAATCTAGACAAAACACCACATGCAAATTGCTACTTGCAAAAAAAGAAATCCTTGAAAATCCATATTTGCAAATTAGTGCCAATCAATTTGTCAAGTCAAGCACTACAAAGCTGGCAAATTAAGTAAGCAAAACTACATGAATTTCAAGAAGGTATCTCTAATGCTAGTCTGAGTAGAAACAGCATTTTGAAAAGTGTAAAAGTATATTCTTAGCCAGACTTACAGTGAGTAATTAAAGATGGTAAATTCATTTGGTGTTTAAGATTTAAGACTAGATAGCAGGAGACTGTGAATTCTACTCCTGTTTCAGGCAAGAAGCCAATTGGGTGACTTTGAGTCAGGGACTTGTCCAGACAATCACACGAGTCTCTGAAATATTTTCTTTCCATGGTTCTCATACCTTGTCCATATTGACTCTTCTCCACCTAAACTGCACTCCTTCACTTCTTTACCATAGTTTCCCACAGGGAGCCCAATACTTGGAAAGTTTTAATGAAGCTGACTAATAGTGATATACAGTTAAATAATTATCTTGGATGATGATGTTTCATGTTATAGTGAGAGCCAAAATCTGAGCATTTTAAGAAACATCTGGCAATTTATTTCTGGACAAATAAGAAATTCAGCAAGATAGCACTGAAGATATAGATATATAGAAGATATTGGCTGCTTCATACTCAACCACAGCAGAGGAGAGCAGAGTCCTTGTATTTGTTGAAAACCAAGGACACTAAAGATTTTTCAGCAAAATGAAAATAGAACATATACTTCACTGTAAAACTTACTTCATTATACTGATTTTCTCCCATACATTCAACTATCTGTATATTCATTTTCCTTAAATTTCCTTGGTACCCCAAGAGATAGGTGAACCAACAGGCCGCAGCTGTCCTTCTGGATCAACTGATACTACCCCATAGTATACTCTATCCGCTAATTTTCTGCAACATAGAGACATTTATCTATAGGTAAATCAACCTGTTAAATAATTAAGTGGGGGTAGATACATTCTGTTTCACCAAAGATTGAAGCCCCAAATTGCAGAACTTCCAGAATGGCAAAAAACAAAACAAAATTGCATCTTAATATTTCTTTGTAAGGTTCCTTACTAAAACAAGATATATGATACTGATCACATTAATTAATTTGTCAGGTTTGTGTGCCAACTTTATCCTCACACCAAAAAATTTGTAAACTAAGTTGGGATGGGAGACAGTAATAAGCCTGGAGTAATTCATCAAGCTTCCATAGCTGAAGGCATATTTGAATCCAAATCTTTCTGTTTCCAATTCAATACTTATCCATCTATATTCCTGGAAATATTTTGAAATTTGTCAAAGTCATACCTTTTCATCTCCCTCTTTTAAAGCCAACATCAGGTCATCTTTGGTTCCTTTCTGGCAATGCTCACAGGTACAGTCAAAATAATACTGTTTTTTCAGTTGCTGCTTTCTGTCTTCACTGACATTGAGAAAGTCTATATAGGAAACAGTCAGCTCTTCTCCTACAGAGATCTTACTCAATACACGTAGCTCTACCCTAGTTTTAAATAAGGCAAGAGGCATTAGATCAATTGCAATAATTATCTGATTCTATAGTCTTAGGAAAAAAACTCTTTAAGGATGTATCTTTCCAAGCAAAGACAGGGATTATTTTATGGAATTTTTGTCTTCTGAACTAAATTCTGAGCAAGGGTGAACAAAATTCTGTAATAAGAAAAGATCAAATTAATGCCTACATAATTTATGGAAATCAAAACCATTTTAATTCTCTTTTATTTTGCATAATTTATTGCGGAGCATTATTCTCCATATTTGGAATTTTTGCCAGCCCTTATTAAACATTGATAGAACAAAGTGGCCTTGTTTTCTGACTAAAGAGAAAATCTCATTTAACAACCTCTATAATTTCAGCATGCAGTGTTCAGTTTTGAACAAGTTCTAAAAAATTCAAAAGTCATATACATAGTGTTCACTGTTCTTTAATTAATATTAAAATTTTTAAACAATTGCATTTTTAGAAAATTAGAGTCTATTGTGCAACCAGAGTATAATTTTAAAAGCATCATTATGAAATTCTGGATAAGTGTCTTCTCATTTTATTTTGTCATACAAATTACCTTTTAATTGACATTTTCCTTCTTACTTTCAGCACACTCAATCAATATTCCACTTTGTAGCTGCTATTGAAAATTACATATACTGTAATTACTGCTTCACACAGCCACAGTTAACCTATAGATAACCTTAAATAAATGAGTCAGCCACAATGCATGCTAAAGGGATGGACCTATGTGCACTTATTTGTGAAGTTGAGGAAGAGGGTCACCTGCAAATACTTTCCATCTATTATTGTTGCCACCAGCAGACAGCTATTAGGTGGCATCATCCAGATATTTGGGTAGAGTAGATTTTCTTAGTTTTAGAATTTGAACCTGAGGGATTCAGCATAGTCTCTAGATTAGGAATATCAAACTGGAGGCCTGCAGGCCAGATGTGTCACACACTGGCCACACCCACCACAGCTCAGCAAATGGGAAAAAAGTCACAAAACATCATTTGACGGCAAGGTGACGTGGTGAGTTTGACACCCGTGGTCTAGACCAACTGAATCATATCTGAAATCATGTACATGAAGTGCATTGGTTAGAAATAGAGCTATTATGATAAATAAGCAAAAGCAGACTTGCATACACATGTACAAATACATTAACCGTGCCATTCCTAAACATTCAGCTTTAGAGCACATGAATATGTTCTTGCCATGCACCCTCATCACTCCTACTTTCTTCTCTTCTGATAGTAGTGTCAATACTATGCCTTAGTAGTGCCTTATAATGAAGGCAATTAAATTATGTCTATCCAAATATAAAAAGCAATGTTTCTAAATTTGTAATATAAATAATTAGTTTCTCTCACATTCTCAATCTTTCTCTTGTTATTCTTCCTTAAAAAATTGGTATGGTCTACAAAAACCTCACATACTAGACTTGATTTGGTTCTTTCCAGTTTCATTTTCAACGCTAGCTCAGAAGCATTGAGAAATATGTAGTGATTACCTTTAAGTTGCTCTTTATCAGATCAAAGTAATACATTTGTTAGCAAATGAGTTTAATCACAACTTCCTAGTAAAAGTTTTCACTTTTTTTTAGAAAGAATGTTTCTTTACATGCCATATTAACTACTATTACACTCACACACATACAGGGACAATCACACTTTCTTACATCAGCTGTGAAGATACTTGGTTTCAAAATGTGCAGCAACTTTCACTAAGGGCTTTATTTATAATCGGCTGAATCAAGGAATGGATTTCTACAATTTACACCACAGATATACAAATAACTCCCTTTTTTATTTAAAAGATTCTTTTGAGTATTCCTGGAATGTACACAGAATAAATATCCAAGAATTGTACAAAAATTTGCCAAGAATGCTCAAAAAACATTTGAAGGTTTTCAGAGGCCCAGTGGTCTTCTTTTCTCCTGCCAGCCTTCCTGAAATCAAAAACTTGTCATAGGGTGGGAAATGGGATGGAAGGGATGGAATGCCCAATCCTTCTCTCCAGCTGAAATTAGTTGTAATCAACGCAACCAAAATTAGAGAATGGGATATCAGGCAAATCAGTCATCTGTAAATAAGATGAAAGATTGATAGGATTTATACAGGCTCTCATGCTGTCACTGCTGTGGAAAGGAAAGAGGGAAAAAGAAGGTAGTACTAATGTTAAGAAGGATGGGCAAGTTGATCTGATAAGACCAGAGGAGACAATCACAATTAATATTATAGTTGTTGTTATTGTTGTTGTTATTATTATACACTACAAAATGCAGGAAATATTAAATTAAGGTCTGGCTTTAGAGGAACTTAGTTTAGGGATTACAGAAAGTGGAATTATGCATCAACAGACATTTCCAAAATTGGGTTATTACTGTCTGTGATTCGTCTATACTGATGCAGGATGATAGAGAAGTAGTGAGAGAAGGGAGTATATTATGCTTTTAAGAATAACCCACCTCATCTGGGTGTGGAACATTGATCTTACAGCCTCATGACTGGAAAAAAAAACAGACACCTGCAGTTTTACAAAGGTAGAAACACTGGAAAAGCAGTCTGAGCCCAGATATTTAGTAGATTGAATGCTTGGAGGCAGCTATACATTGACATGCATGTACCAAGGACAACACTAAAGGTGCATCTGAAATTATAAGATAGAAGCTTAAGACCATACAATTTACAAGGACTAGACAATTTCCCCTCTCACACAGGCTTTGGCTCTAGCATAGGAATACTTGTATTTCACCACAATTGATTGACGGACTGACTGACTAGTTTTTCTTACAGTGGGGGGACCAGAGTTGAAGGTAATCACAGAGCTTGGATATTTTTAATTTTTTAATCTCCTGGCTCGCCTGGGCTCTTTCCTCCCCATCCAAGAGAAGTTTAGTTTTATGAATAAGAATTTGGTGAAACTAAGCTCCAAGGTTTAATAGAACCTTCCCTTGGCATAGGTAGGTCTTACTTAGCAAATCAGCTTCAGCATTATAGCATTAGTAGCAGCAAGCAGAACTCTTTTTGTAGTCTACTCACTATAATTAAAAAAATATACCACATGTACAACCTTACTGAGTTCACTACAATTATAATACAAAGTATCAGTATAAAAAGTAGTGCCAAAAACAATAAAATGTTTCGTCTATAATTTACACCACAGATATACAAATAACTTCCTTTTTAAAAGATTCTTTTGAGTATGTTTTGTCTTTAGCTTAACTATCTGATTTTAGGTTTTCTTCTAACACATAATGTATGCTTTATCCAGGCTTTCTAATAGCGTTCATAACCACTAAATGTTACTAGAAAGGATGGATGATAGATATTGGACCAGAATGACTTACGGTACTTTACTTTTATATTTTGATCCATCCCAAAACCTTACAATGGGGGTTATTTTCAGGCAACTAAGATTAAACATTACACGTAAGTTTCATTTATTCTTATTCTCCTTTTGACAGGATACAAGTGACAAATAGTAACATAGTCTAAAAGGCAGTCTCTGCCGCTGAACCAGAGAAAGTTGAATCTTTTCACTCAGTAGTTTATTTGTATTGCTGGGAAAGATTTCCAACTGGGCTTTCTCTCCTAGTATCAGTCAATCCATCTCTAAATCTGTATGAGATGTTTTTTCCCATAGTAGTAGCAGAAGGCATAGCTAGCTAGGTATGAACCTTTCCTTGCTGCTTTCTTTACGTCCTCTTGTGAATTGACCTATTTCATACAGCCCTGATCAAAAAGGAATGGCAAAATGTTGGCTTTAACTAGAGCAGTTGCAATGCAATGCAAATGCCCCTCAATCAAATAGCCAGGGAAACAGTCCCCAGCGATAGAAAAAGAACTGCTAGAGCATAACACAAGTTTTTCAACAGCATCCTGGCTTTAGTTTTGGACACTTCAATTCCCTCGCCCAAAGTTCTATTCAGGCATGCTCAGAAATAATATCCCATCCAATGAAGTATGACAAATACATTGTTAGGTAAGCTCTCTGTTGGGAGAGCGAGTCCTAACATACATCACCTTCTCCCACCATGGCAGAGAGGCTCTACAGGATCCTTTTCCCATTCAAGGTAGATGGCACAGAATTACGGAGGGAGTCAAAGCCACCAGTGATATTAAAAATACTAGACTGATATTCTGAAATTCTGACTCACATTATAGTCTGGTCTTTCTGCACTGTGGTGGTATTTGTTTTTAATCAGCTTCCAAGGACTGCAGAGACATGTAATAATGCATTGAGATCACCCAAGTAGTAGTTCCTGGGAGAGCCTTGGAAGTAGGCAGGTGTTGTGGCAGGTTTTAATAAAGTAAATGTCTTAAGCCTACTAAAGTTTAACATATCTATTTATTTTCTAATTTCTAAAAAAAAAAAGATGTCAGAAGTTTTTCCCTGAATGCTGGTGTTTTGCTACTGAATACTCATGTGTGATTTAGGAATTAGAAACAAGGATCTGAGAACCATAGAAAAAACTATGAATTGTGAGCTGCTCATCCCTGAGCAATAGCAACATTAATTTAAGTTTCGATTCTTATTCAGAATTTACACACTTCTCCTGCTATTGACTGTTTTATGAGAGAGTACAGCAACATTCCACAGGGATCACATTTGATCTTCCAATTATTATTCTCTGATCTTTTGAAGTAGATTTCTTACAATTATTGCAATCAAAGAGATAATATCAATGGAACATATTTTAAGGGAGAGTATAGCTGTCACTATCCTTTCTCTAAGAAAATGACTGGGTGCTTGTCTTTTCATGCAGACCTGTTTGATTGAATAACATTGTTTGATAGTGCAGATTTAAGAAAGAATGATTCTGTCTATTTTTAGAAATATCATTATGACCCTTACTGACTTCCATCAACAGATTGATCAGAATTTCATTACTCAGTAATGCTAGGAATTTATTCAATGAAAGAAAAAACATAGTAGTTAAAGTATTACCCCATTCAACCATTTTCTTAACTTATTTTTCTAGGTCCAATATTGTTCCTTGTTCTTGACAATACACCTTGGGTACAAGCCATTGAACCATTTAGTGGCATAGTCTTTACTGAATAATTTTCAGCTTGCTAAGAACATTGTAAAAGCTTCCTGCATTCCTATTTATTGAAATGAGATTTCTGCAAGATAATGTTTCAATGGGTTCCCCATTTTTCTAGATGTGTTCAGCAGTGGTCATATTATATATTTTCTGGAAATGGAGGTCAATGCATTAGAGTTAAGCTATCTTTCCTCTGAAAAGCAGATTGTTTTCTGAAAGACTTAGTTTTAATCTCTGAACAGAAAAGAGTGTTGCAGAGAAGAATACTTACTTGCCATTGTTAAAGATGACAGTGCAATTGGGCCAACAATCATGATTCACCAAGCAAAGATTGGGGAAAATGCCCACGCCAACTGCCTGAAGTCCTCTTTGGTCACTCAGTGTGAAACCATTGCAATTGATCTGCACCCACAAAAAGAAAAAATAAGATGGATCAAGGGGAAAAAATTAGATGAGAGACAGCCAGTTTTTGTACGTATACTATTTCTCAGACAGAATTTGTGAACTGAAATATAAATTGATGCACAGTTCAACTCATTCCATTAACATCTATATTAAAATCATCACAAGTTACCAGCCAAGTTATATAGTATATATAAATCCCCAAAACATGTACCGCAATAATCTCTCCCTCTTTCTTTTTCCTTATCATTCTTACTACATTTCTTTCTTAATTTTCCTAATTCATGAAATCCTGCAATAGACACATACACGAACGGGTCAGGATTTGGTCATGTGGTTGTAACTTCTATCTTGCCCCCTTTTTTGACAAATTAGCTATCTAGGGAGAGTATGGCTGATTATCTTCCAATCTACAAAAGTTTGTGAAGGATTCAAATGTGTTTTATCAAGGGCTGCCCCCCCACACCCACACACCTATTGGTTGGAGGTGGGGTGGAACAGCATCATTTTGGCTAAGTAGTCCCAAAGGTGCTTTTACAGGAGGCCACTGTACTTTCTTGTTTTTTTTCTTTGAATTCACTTCTCATCCAAGAAGCTTCTTCAGTTCTGACAGGATAAGAAGAAGGAAAAAAAAAAAAAAGTGCAGTTGACTCCTGAAAAAGCACCTTTGGGACAACCATGACCTGGATGACTGAGAATCTCTACAGACCTTTGGGCTAAGTAGTTTAAGAACTTAGTGTAGATGCTGATCAGTCAGTAGATTCCTGATATGTAATTCTAAATACCTCAGATATACCCCATAATCCTCCAGCATTTCATCTTTAGACAGTTAATTACCATCTTCCTTCTGTAAATGATGCCTACATTGGTGTGTCAGAGGACCAAGAGCTCCATTAAATAACTAAGTAGTAAGGAAAAGGGCTAGGAGAAAAAAAATCACTATTCCGCATGCGCGCAAAACACGCATTAAGCATGCACGCACACAAAGCGCACCCCTGAGTGAACCGACAGTAAAAGAATCCGGAACCCTCCCCTGAGCCACAGGTATTCTGGGGAGCAATAAGAAACATAATATGAATATAATTGACTGCATTCACACAATATCCCCATTATTCAGATAGTCCTCTACTTGCAACCATAACTGAGACTGGCAATTACAGTTGAAACTTGGGGTGGTTATAAAGCGGGCCATCAGGTGAGCAGAGTCGATTTTGGCTTTCACAATTTTTGAACACAATGATTATAAATGTGGTTGTTAAGTGAATACCACAGTTGTTGGTAAAACCATTGTTTGTTATGGAGCTTTTCTTCCAAAAACAGAAATAAAACACTGGTTCCAGGAAAAAACTTATAATCATTCAAACTGTTGTGGTCACATGACCCTGGGCATTGCCAACCACTATAAATGCAGGTTGGTTTCAGGGTGAATTTGCTTTAGTTGTCCAAGTTCCCTCTCACAATTCAACAATATATACATACCACACCCAATATGTGGGAGATGTATTGCATGCCAAACTGTTTGCTCTCAGGTGGCCAGAACTCCAGAAAACTCTCCAGATCCATCCTCAGCTCCTTCTTTTCCTCCTCCCCAAAATGTTCTACATGGTTTTGCAGACTGTCAATGGAAACCAGACACCCCTCGGTAAGGCTCCCTCCTTCTCTTTCAATTCTCCACAGGATTCTGGCAGCCAATCTAGTTGGAGAAGAGTATATTTCAGTGTATAAGTATATGAAACCTTGTTTTTTTCCCTTTTGTTCAAGATTCTGGAAGTCTGCTTTGAAAGCCCCTGCAGTCTTCTAGGCAAGATTTTACAAAATTGGTTTGCTATAGCCTCCTTTCTAGGACTGAGAAAAAGTGACCAGTCCAAGGTCCAAGCTGGCTTTGTGCCTCAGGCAGAATTAAAATTCATGGGCTTCTGGTTTCTAACCTGGTGCCTTCATCTACATACCAAACTGTCTGTCACAAACTAAACAATGAATTGCAAAATGTGGTTATTTTTCTTAATATTTTGGGAAATGGAAGTGTGATACCCTCAGCATAGGTAGACGGTAATCAAAATTAAACAGGTCATTCTTGCATACACCAAGACTCTTAGGGCAGCTGAGAGGATTCTGGCTTATGTCTCAGAATCAGTAATGGTATCCTCTTTTCTTCACTACTGGTTCCGTAGTGGGAGCACGCATCTGAGCATGTGCATGTCTGGGCACATGCAGAATCTTCTGTGCATGCACAGAAGGTCTGTGATGATGACTGGGTGGGTCGGTGGAGCCTTGCGCTTCTGTCACTACCAATTTACCTGAACCGGTGTGAACTGGCAGGTACTTGAGAGACCGCCTGCTGCCAATTACCTCCCATAGACCCATTAGATCGCACAGGGTCGGCCTCCTCCGGGTTCCGTCTACCAGCCAATGCCATCTGGCTACCACCCAGGGGAGGGCCTTCTCTGTAGCAGCTCCGGCCCTTTGGAATGAACTCCCCGCGGAGATCCGGACCCTCACCTCTCTCCAGGCCTTCCGGAAAACCGTCAAAACCTGGCTGTGCCAGCAGGCCTGGGGTTGATGAGTTCCCCTCCCCTCTCGACTTGTATGGCTGTATGACTCTTGTGTATTTTAATTACGTGTATTGTGTTTGTATCCCCTTTTCCCCTTTTGAGTTGTTCGCCGCTCTGAGTCCCTCCCGGAGAAGGGCAGCATACAAATAAACTAAATCTTAAATCTTAAATACCACTTCTGCTCAGAATGCTTGGAATAATTTACATAATCAAGTAGACTCTTCTTTCTAAGCTGAGATTCATCTTTAGGTACCCTGAAATAATCAGCAACATCTTTTTCTGTTGGTCAGATAAATGTATAGGTTTTTTTGCTCTTTTAAGAAGCAACATCCATTTGGGCTATGTACAGATTTTTTTTAAAAAAAAATAACCCCTTCTTCTTTAAAGAGACATGGGAAAGAATTCAAAGATTAGGAATTATGCAAGAACTTTGAACAGTAAGCTATTCTGTCTGTCTGGCTAACTATCCAGTAGTTATCAGTATCATTCAGTTCTCTTGCACATGTCTAACTTGGAGCTACCAAATTATGGGCTGCATCAGCCATCCTGGACAGCAAATATAAAGAGATATCACTGGTTGAAAGGTTATATCTTTGCAAAGAAGAAAATCCTTCTTTGCTGCTCTTTTTACAGAGACATTTAAACAAAATGTATCTTCCATTCTGGCACCATTCATCTTCAGTAGCTATTTAAAGAAATGGATGGTAGTCCCAGCATAGGTAGCTAGATTCTGCACAACAGCGCTAATGTTTTGTCAGAACCTGATAAATAATCCATTATAGGTATTTTACACAATTAATGCATTGAATCTTTTTGTATTATTATTTGGCTGCATTTTAGTAACTAATGACTTTATAGGCCTTCACAATTTAAGGACTAATATTATATTATAGCTTAGATCATGTTCTTGTTTACGTGCAATTGACAGATAAGATGCCGAATAATGATTTTAACATAATTTTTGTTATTTGTTACTATTTTTTAACTAGATGCTCCTTGAGTATTTTTAATTCTACTGGTCTCTATAATAAACATTTGAGTTGAGATATGATCTGTAAAAAATCTGGATGACCATCAGAGAGCAAGAAATAAATTGAACCTTAGTTTTTCTACAAATGTACTCACAGTTGGAAGCCTTTCAGGAGAACTAACTAACTCTCTAGCTAGAAGCATAGTTTCCATTGAAGTTCACAATGCCTTCCTGTCTCATATATCACAATGGTGTATTTTTATCCAGCTCCTATAAATAGGATGTCTGATAAGTGTGGAGTTCCATACCAGTAGTAGTTAAAATTGAGAGACTGCGCAAATAGCCATTTCAAACATTCTCTCAAGCTGTCTTCCTTTAATAGAATATTAACATACTCATATAACATTTGGAGTGCCTACCTGTCTTTTTAAAAATAACTTTCTCAGTTTTTGTGATGAGCAATGTAAAAGACAGATATATCCCCCAAATAATTTGCTTTGAATACTGACTAACCAATCACCTAATGAGCAACTGCCACAAAACTGAGAATCAAATCCAACAAGCATTATACAGGTGGCCCTTGTTATTTGTGGTGATTCTGTTGTAGTGTGAAAACATGGAAATAAAAAAGCCAAGTCAATGGACACTGGAGCCTATGGTTGCTCCAGACTTTTTTCAAGTGCTCCCCTTTTTTTCTCCTATTGAAATCATAGATATCCTATATTTTCTCCCCCTTCTCCTTACTTAATCCTAATAGATCCTACTCAGTCTGTGAGGGGTCCTGGGTGCTCTCTGAACTTGGTTGTTTTCTTGCAGACATTTCATTACCCAAACTAGATAAAATAATCAGTACTAGTGCTGATGAAGTTACCTAATTTGGGTAATGAAATGTCTGCAAGAAAACAACCAGGGTCAGGGAGCACCAAGGATCCCTCATTTCAATCCTGAACTACAAATATTCTCCTTTATTGGTTCAATAAGAGTGGCTAGTTGACTGCAGAAACTGATAAATTTCTTGGTAATGGAAGAAGTTACCTTGATCCTACTATTTGGTTCATAATGACCTCTCTGCTCTTCATGGTTTTTCCAAATCTCAACAGAGGGCCTTCTTGATCATGCTGCAGATATCAGTGATATTTGTGTCCCCTAGATCTATATAGCTCACAGTAACAACTATGAGATGTTTGGGATAGTGCTCTGTCTTCTGAATCCTGCAGCCACAATACTGATGTTTTCTTCCATTCTCCAAAAGCAGTGCTAGCTGCAATCACCAGTATTCTGAGGAGGGACTTCAGAGGACAAAGAACTATAAGCCATAAGCATCATGTGGATAGAAGTAACATCCAATCAATCACATATAAATCTCTCTCAATTTAATCTTCCAGAAGACCTTTTCCTGATCCTTCCAACTTCTGAATGTTGCTGGACTAGAAAAAAAAGCCCTTTGGAATATTTAGGTCCACTACCTATAAAAATCCCACCCATCAATCATTGAAATTATCTCAATTTTTGCAAATATTTATGGTTTCAGAAGGAGAGAAGATACAACATAGTATACAACTGTGTATGTGGTAGTCATTCCCCACTCTAGGGAACAGTGCTCATCTCCATTTCCAAGCTGAAGAGCCAGCGCTGTCTGATGACAATTCTGTGGTCATGTGGCCAGCATGACTCAATGCCAAAGGCGCACGGAACGCTGTTACCTTCCCACCAAGATGGTCCCTATTTTTCTACTTGCATTTTTGAATGCTTTCGAACTGCTAGGCTGGCAGAAGCTGGGGCAAGTATCAGGAGCTCACTTTGTTACACGGCGCTAGGGATTCGAACCACTGAACTGCTGACCTTCTGATCGACAAGCTCACTGTGTTAGCCACTGAGCCACCATGTCCCTGGATAAAAGCATAGGTTTCATCATTTCATCACCATCATTTGGACCATAATATTCTAGAGAAATTAGTCTTCTTTGTGAGCACTCTAATGAGTGAAATTGTGAGGGAAAATTGCAGATAAGCAATCACTACAACTAGAAAAATATTAAATCTTCCATTTTAATAGGCAAATCTCCCTCCTTTGTGTGATCCATTTCATGTACAGAGAAAAAATAAGCAAATTAGAATAAAACATTCAAGAGAATAAATTTTTGCCGTATAGACTTTCCTTCCAAGGGAAAGGGATTAAAAAATGCCCTGCATTTCAGCTTGCTTGAACCTTGAACAAAGCTGTCTTTTAAGCCATAGAGTATTTCATTACAAACTCATTAGTTCTATCTCTCAGTACTGATCCTTTCACCTGATGTTTTCATTTGGAGCTGCCCCACGCTTTTTGATTGCAGAACATTCACTCTTGTGGTTCAGCCAGGCATCCTTCTGGCAGGTGCGATCACAGTAGTGGGCAAACTTGCACTGGCCACAACGATGGAGTTTCTCATGCCTCTTGAAGCAAGTGTGGCAGACAAGGTGAGTGAGGCTAAAAGGAGGAAAACAATGCTTTAATCATCACTTGGAAATTGCAATTCAATTCTTAATAAGATATGCTCCCAGATTTTCTAATGTCTTTTTTTGAAGATTATATACATAGTCTACACACACACGTATACACTATATATAGTGTATACACACACGCATACACCATACATTACACACACAGTGTACATTACACACACACACATTTCCTCTGTTTCATTTATTCCCTACCTCTCTCAAGAGTTCAAGGCAGTCGCCTCTAATTTTATTCTCCTTATTTAAAAAAAGGCAAAATTGTTTACAACTGTGAGCAGGAGAACTGTGAATCAGTTGGGCTGAAAGACAATAACTAGCCCAAAGTCACCCATTGTTGAGTGCAGACGTGAACCTCGGTAAACCTAATCTTAGTGTGAAATCACACCAACCTCACTGACAAAATATTTGCTTTGGGCAGAGAGGTCCTATCAAAGATAATTTTAAAATTAAAATTATCAACAAATGCAGCCTTGGACTACATTGGCTTTTTAGGCAGCTGTTGACTCATACTTACCACTAGGACACCTAGATCCTTTTCACAGTTACTACTGTTGTGACAGATACCATCTATTCTATTCTTATGCATTTGATTTTCCTGCCTATGTGCAGAAACTTACTTTTGGCGCCACTGAACTGCATCTTATTGGATAAGGCCCAATGCTGTTAAGATTCTTTTGAATCTTGAGTCTTATCTTCCAAAATGTTAGCAATTACCCCAGCTATTATCATCTGCAAATTTGATGATTGTTAGGAATATAATCTAACGGTTGGGTTGGCAATATATAAATCATGCAACAATGCTATACCTGTTTCTTTAAATCATA